GTCCCGTTTATTAGTGATTTATTATTAGTATTCTTATAATCATTCTCTACCTGCACTATTTATATATTGATTCATACGGCTGGTGTTCAATCTCGTGGTATATGGGATCATTGTTTGGGAAAGACATGAATATGCTTTTTCAGACAATACATACAACAACAAAAAACAATGAGAAAGAAAGCAAATGTAAATAAACAACTAGATAATAATAGTTGAAACTCGTTATTATTTCACCTAATTAACAATATTTCCTGTTAATTAATTACATTTTTCTTGCAAGGAATGAAAGAATGCACGGACGTTTTATTTATTTATTTATTTATTTTTTTATTTTTAAGATGAAGCGCAACAACATAAAGGAAATAACAAATTCCCAATTGTTGAAACCACTCAACCGGAACACCAAAGATCATCTCTATATGTTTAAGTTAAACCACAAAAGGAAAAAGATAAAAAGGACCGAATAAATAACATAGATATGCTTTGATACAAAGAAGTCGAGAGCTTGTATCTCCCTAAAGAAAAAAGAAAGAGCAGTAGTATACACTTGTTTTGAGTTTGCAACAGTCAATCAAGAATGACTTTTGTTTCTTAGGTCTTGCTCTAGCTAAGAAAAGAACTTCCATAGGGGTACCCTATATGTAGACCATCTTCTTCTTCCTCTCTCTCTCTCTCTCTCTCTCTCTTCGTTTTTTTATTTTTTTAAAAAAGAAGATATAAATTCCTACATAAAACCATGTTGTACTAAAAAAACCCAACTGTGAAGGAATGTAGATCCATGTGTATGCTCTCTTTCTTTTATTAGTATGAATTCCTATATCAAACCATGTTGCTAAAGTCTCTTGAGCACTAAATCATCTTTTTACCAATTTGCCAAGGGTACTACTGAGTTTCTTCTTTTTTGTTTTTCTTTTTTCTTCTACCCTTTCTAGTGACCACATTGCTACATGTCAAATCTTCCTCAACTCAACATATAGTAAACACCAACAAGACTTTAAACTCCATCAACAATTATTGTGGTGAATTTTGATATATTGAGTAATAATACAAATGTGCTCGCTAAACTTAATTATACATATGATGTGGACACTTAACAAAGCAACTCCTTAGTGTAACATGAAATTGTTAAGAGTCATTGAAAATGGGTCACCAACAAATTTGCTGAGTGTTCTTGGCATTTATCCTTTGTGAATATATGTAAAGAATACACCTTTTTTTTTTTTTTGCTCAATTGCTATCAATACTATTCAGCATCACCCGATTCTATAGAGATTACTCGCAGATTTGGGAATAACGTTGAGTTGGAAACCTATCTGATCTACTTCAATAGTCATTGTCATGAGCAATCCCTATAGATATTTAATATTTAAGGGAAACAATACGCAAGTTGCTAGGTTAAAACAGAATAGGTCTAGTGTAAAATCTTGCAAAAGATCAGAAAGGGTGACCATTATAGTTATATCTTTTCTTCCTTTTCTTTTACTTTATTATGATGAATTGTTGTTTCTTATACTACCCTACCAATATCACACTTTTCCTTATGGTGCAAGTGAAGGGAAAAAAAACTTCTAATTACCGAAAAAAAAAAAAGAAGGAAAAAAAATCTGATAACATAAGTTAAAAAGTTAGGTCTTCACTCCATGTCAAAAATAAAAAAATAAAAAAGCATCAAAGATGAATGTCAAATAAGCCAATAAGATCTTCGTTGATGCTCTCTACTCCGATTCCAAAGGCCATCAATATGTTAGCTTTTTCCAAAATAATAATAATAATAATAATAAATAATTTTTTTGAAGGAAAAAAAAAAAAAAAAGCATCATTAGCTTGCAAGTAGCACTCGTGGAACCCTACCCCCCACCTAGCTTTCTAATGTATTCCTTTTTTTCTAGTTTTGATGCTATATCAAGGATAAATGTAATTCTTCTGTTTTCTTTATTTTCTTTTCGCAACTATCAAATCTTTGTCATTTTTTATTTTGCTACGTTTTATGATGAGATATGAGTTTTGGGGCTTAGATTATCGGAAAATAGTCAAATAAAAACAGAAAAGTCCTTTAACATTTAAAGGGGACACCAAATTAAAGAGACAATTAATGTATATTACTTTCTACGTGAGTTAAAAAAAATACACGTACATCTATGTATTATAGATTCCCTGGCATTTGATTAGCTAGTCTAGTAAAATGACACATTAATTCCGAAATCGATCGGTATAATATTTCTAGACTTTGAGCACTCTTTTCTTTTTCTAGTTAATTTTTGTAAGACTAACTTTGAGACTAAGAAACTACTTTCAGAATCCCTATTCCAAGCCGATCTAAAGGATTAGATTTCAGCAAATTAAACTTTTTTTTTTTGTTAGTATTTTTTTTCCGTTCAAAAGTGTTTAATATTCGACTAATTAAATCCTTTACGACGACAACGGACTCTCAAGATAAAATGGAAGAATTCTAAATCTTTAGGAGACGTTTCCCCTGAATTTGAGTAGGCCAAGGTGATGATGACATTAAATATTTCTTACCAACCAAACTTGTTGTTGTTCTTCTATATTTTCCTTGTTCTTCTTCTATATTTTCTTTTTTCTCCTTAAAAATTTACAACACTACACACAGATCTTGTTACAGATTTAACAGTTAAAAATTTAATTTATCAATAAAAACATTTACCCTATCAATGGAGTAAAATAGAAAATTTACTCTACTATAAAGACTACCATATTATTTCTTGTTTCAAGGAATCGAGGGAGTTCTTTTTAGTGTGTATATATATATATATATATAGGCAAACGAAATTATATCAATTAAAATAATTTAATAATCATCTAACAATTTAAAACTGTGTGGTATGGTATTTTTTTCATCAAGAATTTTCTTTCTTTTGTTTTGTTTTTGTTTTTGTTTTTTTTTTTTTTTTACTTAAAAGTAAATCACTAAGTTGGCTTTTTAAGTTTTGTCACTTTCCAACGACTAGTCTTATTAGAGTTTTATGCCATAAAGATGGTAAACTTACCAGCGTTTTCTATTGCCTTTTGTCTTGTTTTCACCGAATTTGAAGGAAAACTATGTTTCCTTGTGTGGATAAAGTGGTAGGCGGCTACTTTAGTACTAATATTTTCTAATGATGGTTGTTATTTTACAAAATCTATGCTAATAAGTTCTTTTCATTGAAAGATTGAGAGAAATTTGTGGTATAAATACGGACAAATTTATAATTTTAAATTGTTAATTTAAATCAGATTAAAAAGAGTTATAAATTTATAAAAATTAATGAAATACTTATCAATATATATTTCACGTATTTTAGATATGATTATTTTTTTCTTATATTATAAATTTTTCTTAAAGAAAACTGAAGTTCTTTTTTAAAAAAAAAAAAAATGGATTTACTGTTATGATGTCTTGAAAGAAAAAAAAAATGAATTAGTTTATATTTTTAATGTCATTTGAACAGAAAAATTGCCAATCTTGTTCTAACCTCATATTAAGGACCTGTTTTTTCCCCTGGTGGTTAATAGATTACTATAGCGTAAGTTATATTTTCTTTCTTCAATGTCTTATATTAAGTTAAATTCAGAAAATCCCTTAACAAAACTAAGACTGCCAACCAACATGAAATTTGCCACACCTAAACCTTTGACGAAATTTTCCACTTAAAATTTATCTTAAAAAATAATAATAAGATTTTCATTGTAAAACCTAAAACTTTACGAGTTTAGTAAATTAGTCCCTTAATTTTTTTCTTGACAATTCACCCTTTAAAGTTTGAAATTTATTGCATTGCTGGTCAAATTAAAAATAAAGTTACAATTTTAGACAATATCTTCCACGTGAATATTTAATAAAGATAATTCTAGTATTTTTTTCATTGAATTGAACCCATTAAACACGTCATGAATGAGAAAAATTTTGAAATTGGGGGACCCCTAATTTTTTCCCCAAAATGGTTAACTCCAAATTTCAAAATTTTTTTTGCTCATGATGCGTATATGAGGATCAATTCAATGAAAAAAGATGTTAATTACCCTCATTAAATACTCACGTGAAAGACACCGTCTAAATTTTTAACTTTGTTTTCAATTTGACTAACATTATAATAAATTTTAAAATTTAAGAGATAAATTGCCAAGAAAAAAATGTAATGAATTAATTTAACAAACTCATAAAGTTGAGGAAATATGCATGCAATATAGCTAAAAAAATAAACTACCAGTAACTATCTGTTTCTAGCTATTAGATATATATTAAAAATTAATTGCTTTATATATATATATAAAATTTTTTATTTTAATGTAATTTTAATCAGTTTTATGGTCAAAAAACATACAATACCAATACAAGATCCAAGCGTGGAAGGAAAAAAATGGGAATAAATTTCCCATTCATTGACAAAATTATTTTTCATCCTCACATCCACTAATATACCACCTTTATCCACAAGATTCCTCTGGCTAAATTCAGTTGCTCCTTTTCAGAATAACAATTGTACTGTAACGGTTAAATCTGGTAGTGGCGGTGAAAGAGAGGTTAAAAATAAAAATAATTAAAATTGGAAAATTCTAATAAACTATAAATTTATGATTTTTTATGGTGTCCTGCTCACCAGCTGGAACTAGTATGGACGGTTGTGGAAATTTCGTCTCCACCCTACTTTTCTGATCTCCTCTCTGTCTCTTCCCCAACAAACTCCCTATCACACTTGGGAGGAGATTCCAACGCTCTTTGCCTCCTCGTCTTTTTTTTTTTGTTTTTTTTTTCCAATAAAGATTTATTTTTTTGAAATATTCAAATAAAGATTTATACTATAGGTTTGAAAACATAACTACCATTAAAATTTCATTTTAAAGCCATTTTTTATATCAAAAACTGTTTTTTATATAATTTTTTAATTTTAATGTGATTTTAGGCACGTATAACACTTAAACTGTGCATTACCCATGTGAGGTTCTACAGTAGGGGCCCTTTTTCTATATCAATAAAAAAGAAAACTCTATTTTCTTTTTATTTTTAATTATGTATAATTTTCTTCCGGTTTCATTTTGTGCTTTTGGTTCTATAAATTGACCCCTCAACACCATCAACAACCTCTTCCACTTCCTTCCTCTTCCCCCTTTTGTAGATCGTAGCCTTCCTAATTGCTCTAATTTTATCTAAGGTTGTGTTTCTGTCCTTCCTCAAAATTCTGGCCGTTATTCTGCTCTGTTTTCCCCAGTTTTCTCTCCATAATCTTTTCCTCAATCCTCCTTTTTTCCATTGAATCTCATTCCTTTGATTCAATAACAAAAACCCACATAGCAAATCCCCTCAAGTCTCAATCTTTCCAGCAAAATCTTCAGTTCTTCCGAGATCTGTGCCAGAAACAGAATCTCTCTGTTTTCCTCTGATTTTTTTTTCCCGGTTAACTTTTTCAACTTCTGCAATTCTGATGCTGAATATCGTGTTCTTAATGTTTGAGATTCATGTCTCCAGTTCTTAGCGAAATCCTCCGTTCCGGGTTTATGATAAATTCCTCACTCAGGCGCAGGACCCACTTAGTTCAATCTTTCTCCGTCGTCTTCCTCTACTGGTTCTATGTTTTCTCATAAATAAGTTGAAACATTCAACTACAGTATTTATCTTCTAAGTAGCTACAGTTTTTTTTTTTTTGGTTATATTTTCCGGGTCCTGCGTCTTTTTAGTAAAATCTAGTTTTTTTCTTTTATTAGATCAAAGAAACTAGTCTGTCTCCTGGTTGTAGATATATTATATAGAAGATAAGAAGAAGATATAATATCTATTAAATATTTTTATCATGGCTTCTTCTAGCGGAAACTCGTCAGGGTCAACACAGATTCAGAACTCGGGATCGGAGGAGGATTTGCAGGTTCTGATGGACCAGAGAAAAAGGAAGCGAATGCAATCAAACCGCGAGTCGGCGAGGAGATCTCGGATGAGGAAACAGCAACACCTGGACGAGCTCATGGCCCAAGTGGCTCAGCTGAGAAAGGAGAACAACCAAATCTCGACGAGCATAAACATCACCACCCAGCACCTGATAAACGTGGAGGCTGACAACTCTGTCTTGAGAGCTCAAATGGCTGAGCTCAGCCAGAGACTGCAATCCCTAAACGACATCTTGGGCTGCATCAACGACAACAATGGAGGAGGAGGAGGAAGAGTCCTTGAATGTGAGACTCTTCAGAGTAGCGCTGATAGTTTCATGAACCCAATGAATTTGGTGTATATTAACCAGCCCATCATGGCAACTGCGGATATGTTCCTGTACTAACCAAACCCATCACCATGGTGAATGATGAATGATGATCATAATTCATCATCATGATCACCTTAGGTTCAAAAAGCCTGAAATGGGTCAATCTCTTTTTGTCTTGTTTCGTTTATTGGCGGTGTTTGTTCATGGTCAGAAATGAGTGGAGTGGAGATGAAAGGAAAATGGTGTTCTCTATGTTTTTTTTTTTTTTTTTTTGGTCTTGTCTAATATTATATTATTAGTTTGGTTAGCAACTAGGTGATCAAGCAGTGTGACTCCAGGACAAATATGATTGTGGTCTAATATTGCAAAATGAGTGAAAAAAAAGGGTTCTCAACAATGGAAGAGGGGACCCATGGTGGGATCCTTTGATATGTAAAGGTCATTTATGATATAATGTGGTGTCAAGGCTTATATAATTATTATACGATTTACTATTCATTACCAATTTCCCCATCGACTGTGTATTGTTTTGTTGTTTCCCTTGTGTGTGCCCACCTTCAAACCTGTTTGAGCATTTTTTTTTTTTTCAACAAGATTTTATTGCTATCACTCTCCCTTCCAACTTCTACTGGATGTATCCAAAAATTCCAAATAGTAGTTATGGGCAAACTTTTCCAAATTGATTGCGTTTATTAACTTGTTTTGGTGGGTGCGTATGTAATTGTACTTTACCCTTTTCTGGCCAATTGGCATAAGAGGCTGGCATCCATCCCCGCGGTTTTCGCACATTATTTGCTTGTTTATATAGATCTTAATATGTATGAGAAGCTCGTATATGTTGTTTGCAAATTTAACTTAGCCATAATTTTACTATTAATATTAAAATTTAGAGTTCAAACACAACTATAAGATCATAGTATTATTACTTTTAGTGACTAGGGGGATTTTTTTAGGGTTTTATTCAAAAACTATTGCTTCAATTTTTTATCAGATTAAATGTATAATGTCAAATTAGATTTAGGGGAATGCTACAATACCGTACATTTTTTACGTCATTGATAACGTAAGTTTTCTACACCGTCCGATCTAATTCAAAGGCCAAAACAAGTTTGGTCGTATTGCCATAGGCTCAATTGCGGCGGATTTTTTTCATCGTCACTTTCAGCCAAGCCTACAGTCTCCCAGAGCAAATTTCTTCAACAATGGTTTTTTTTTTTTTTTTTAAAAAGAGAGAAAAAAAACCATTGTCTTTCTTTGCCACCACGCCTACCTTCCCCACCGCAATTGCGCAACACACCCCGCTACTGCGAGCCACCACGACAATGGTTCTTCTGCATCAATTTTTATTACAAAAAAAAAAAGAAAGAAAACGTTCGTGTTCGATTGTTCATCAATCCATCTCCTCCTTCACTCAATATTTTTTTCCTCCCGGTGTCGTGAAATCGCCGTTGCAAGATCCGACGGTGTTTGCGACCCACCACCGCCGATCATGTAGATCTGGGTTTTCTTCTCTGTTACCAAGGAGGACCTCGCCCCCCACCACTCCCTCCGGCCGCGCCGAATGAATCTGCTCCGCCACCCAGCACCAGCCTCGTCGCTCCCCCGGCGATCTTCATCGGCGCGAGGTTCCTTCCCCTCGTCACCCAACTCCTGCAAAGCGCAAGAAGACAATTTTCTTCGTTTTCATGATGTTCTGCTTCTTGTTTGGGGTTCAAGAATGTGAAGGAAAAAAAAAATGAAAGCGAAATAATGTCGGAGATTGTTGTAATATACGGTTTTTTTTTTTTTTGTACTTTCATCATTTATTTGGTCAAGTTCATTTCTATTAAATGAAGATTTTTTTGGGGGTAATTTTTGACATTCATGCGTTTGTCGGATTTTTTTTTTTTTAAGAGTGATTTGTTGTTGAAATGTTTGTACTCTTGTCTGGCTTGATGATCAAGTGTTTGAATCTTTGATTGATAGAGGGACAAGAAAAAAAAAATTCAAGCAACTTTTTGAGAAGTCGGATTTGATTCCCTTAGAAGAGATCAACAAAGGTCTGAAAAATTCCTTCTTTTTTCCTTCTAAATGTGTCTATTCTCTGCAACCCATCTCACGCTAACCCACTTCTTCTCTCGACCGACGGTGGTGCAAACCCAATCCTCCTCCGACGAGGAAACCACCAGCCCTTGTCTGAGATGGCGATGTGATCGACTTCTCTCCCGCCGGCGCGAGTTCTTTTCAATAATAAGCTTTCAAACCAAAAAAAAAAAAAAAATCTTCGAGAGACTTTTAAATCAAAAGAAAAAAAAAAGAATTTGTTCTCTGACAGAGAAAAGGGAATAATTTTTCTTTTTAAATTCGTCGACCATTTTCATAAGAATTTTCATCATAGGATTTCAAATTGGTTGATGAGGCCATCTCCGGAAAAAGATTTGGGATTTTTTTTAAAACTTCAAGCGTACCAGAAAAAAAAAAAAAAAAAAGCTTCAGATGTGGTCAGACATTACTGAGGCAAGTAATATTCCGGTGTGCCACTCTTCTTCCATTAGCACAATGACGTGGGGTCCAATGTCAAATCAAACAAAGGTCACCTGTAGATCTTACGACACCGATAGGGGAAAGGACTTGCGGTAGTATTGTAGCGTTCTCCTTATAATTAATTTTTTATTCGAGTTTTAAAATTTAAGTTAGAGATATAATTTTATATGAAAATATTTTATTATAATAAAAAATTAAATTTAATTATTTTATGAATTTTTTATTATAATAAAATTTAATTTTTAAATTTATATAAAAAATAAACGTGACTTAAATTTATATATTTTTACCGTGAAATAATTTTTACCTTAAAATATTTAAAATACTTTTGAATAAAAAATAAAAAAGAAAAAACTAAAAAAATTTAAATTTATAGTTTTAACCTCAAAAATATGTAAGATACCATTGAAATAAGTTTATTTTTATTTTTATTTTTGGTCATATTGAAAAGTTTTAAACTTATAGTTTTTTTCCTTTTTTTTCTTGAAATAGTTTAGTCATTTTACATGTCAAAATTAATTATTAATTGAGATAATGTATTGATTTGTATAATAAATTTAATTTAAAGGTATATATTTGATGAGATTAAAAATTTAAAGTAAAAATTTAAAATAAACTTAAAATACATAGTATAAAAATATAAACATCTCTTTTTATCTTTTTTCATTTAATTATGCTGAAATTTTTGACGCCAAAACAGCAATTTAATTTAACTTTATGAAAGAAAAACCGCATTCGGATGTTTAAAGCTGAGAACTTTACAAAAAGTTGCTTCACCAAACAATTAAGTAAAGAGACAAGATATAAAAGAGAGAGTATTAAATTTAGCATTTCGCCAATGTAATATTGATTTGGAAGAAAGAAGAAAATAGATCGAAGACTTGAGATGAATTAAAATTAATAGGTCAATAGTTTACATAAGTTAATAAATAGGTCAAATATTGTTTTTGTCCATAACTTGTCTGGTTATGAATCATAACTTGACAAGTTATTATCCATAACTTATCTGATTATGAACCATAACTTATCAAACTTGTCCATAACTTATCTGATTATGAACCATGACTTATATAGTTATGAATCATAACTTGACAAGTTATGACTTATTAATTTTTATAATTAAAAATTGACCTATATACTTTTTTAAACTTTTCATATTGATCTATTTCCGTATTAATTTTGTACTTATATAATATACAGAAAGTTCATGAGACCCCAAAGAGTTGCAGAAGATCAGTAAACCATTACACTATTTTAGAGTGTTATTTAAAAAGTTAAAAAAAAAAAAAAAAAAAAAAAAACAACAAAAACCATTTAACCTTTTTTAAGTGTTTTTTAAAAAATTAAAAAAAAAAAAAAAAAAAAAACAACAACAACAACAACAACCGTTGTTGGTCTTGAAGAAAAGTATACCAAAGTTAGAGAGAGAGAGAGAGAGAGGAAATATGAAATAATAAAACTAATTCGATGCAAAAAAAGAGCGTTAGAACAGTATATAAGACTGTGTGTGGGCAATCAAACACTGCGTACCAATTTCAGTGTGATACGATAAATATATCGCTGTCGACGATAAGTTAAAATATATCATAAAGAGAAAGACGATATTAGACAGGAATATTAATAAATCATTCACTTTCGTCTCTACATAGCTAGCTGCCTAGCTCCCGTGTTTTAGATTGTCGCGCCAAGTTTTCCAAGAAGATTAATAATAATACTAACTAAGGTTCAATGCATCTGACTGAGGGTGATCTGCCATAAAATTTCCACTCCACTGGAATTCATCAACAAACGAGGGTGTTTTATTTTATTTTGTCTCATAGCATTTGCTGGTGTATCAATTAAAAATATGGGCATCATAGCGTGGAGTTAGGTAGTCATATTCTGATATTCACGTACTGTGATATCATGTGTTTACATATAAACTTAACACTAATTAATAATGAAAAAAAAAAAAAAATATATATATATATATATATATATCAAACCAAAATATCAAGAATGAAATGATCATTACAATATAGAACACAACCTCACTTGAGAGTATTTATCGCGAGTGCACAATTTTTTAGCCCTTAATTTATGTCGATCCTACATTATAATTAATCCCTGTGAATAAATGGTCCATATTGTACACTCGCAATCCGTTGCATTGACAAGTGAATGTCATGATTAGAACTCAAGGAGGATTATTTTATTTTTTGGTGGAGGGCTAAGCTCAGAGATATTTTCTTTTCATATATAAGGTACTAAAATTTATTTTAACATTTTGTCTCGGGTAGGTTATCAACCAATTAGATATACAAAAAATGGAGATGACACCAAATTTGCTCTTTAAATTTCATTTATTTCTCTATTGATAAATTCCACAATGTACCATATGACAAGCAAGTGTGATATTGTAATTAATTTGGGTCCAATTTAGTATTGTTGTGAGTTGAAAATACGGTGATCAGAAATAAATAAGTGTTTAATTTTTTTCAAAACTGTTGTGAATATCAAAAGTAGAATTTTAAGTGTTTACAAATTGTGTATAAAATTATTATGCAAATATATAATGACTAAAATAGATATTTTTTTAATATAATTTATGGGTTTAGTTTTTATTTCTAATTTTAAGGTCAACATTCATCATATTTTACACCACAATAACAAATAAAAATTTAATTTGATTTATTCAAATATTTCTAAAAAGTAGATTACTTTAAGGTTATGGGAAAAAAAAAATGAGTAGATTGAGAATTGTGTTTTATTCTTATAGTTATTTTAGTAAATTTGAACAATATTGACAGTAAATTAAAGTTGTTGTGTAAAAACATCCTTGACATGTTTTTAAATTCTAGTCAGTAGTTCTTATAACTTGTCTGGCAAAATCAAGATTTATGAAACATCCTCATATTGTAAATTCTTATAAAAAGCTAAAATTGCAGATCTCAAATAAATCTTTGATAAATAATAACTCTGCCAATAATATATTACTTAAAACTTGATGA